GCCCTTCCTAATTTGCAGTATAATTGCCTTAAATATTTCCTCTCCGTACATGTAGAACCACATCAGATAGTGTCAGAATGTTTGCTTATTTACTTATATTTTTGTTTACTGTGTTCATTCTTCCTGTTTTCAAAGAGTTCCTTTTTGTTTAAACATCTTCTGTTAGTCATTTTTAAGATAATTCAGCTGGCAAAATTCTCTTAGTTTTTCTTTATTGAGCATGTTTTGATTTTCCCTTTTTTCTTGAAGGAAACATTCACAAAGTGTAATATTCTTAGGTGACAGTAGTTCTTTTTTTTAGCACTTGAAAAATAGCACTTCCTTTGGCCTCTATGACTGCTGATGAGAAATCTGCTCATATTAGAATATTTTCCCTTATATTGCTGTTTTTCTCTGGCTCTTTTTTTTTTTTTATTTTCTCTGTCTTTAGTTTTCAGAAGTCCAAATATGTCATGTCTCAGTGTTGATTTCTTTGGGTTTATGTTGTTTGGACTTTGCTCACCTTGAATTTGTAGGTTTTGCCTCTTGCCAAATTTGGAAAGTTTCCAGACCTTATTTTCTCAAGTACTTTTCAGCCCTACTGTCTTTTCTCTCTTCTTTCAAGACTCCAGTTGCATACATTTAGATCTTCTGTTAACAGTACCACAAGTCCCTAAGGCTCCGTTTTTTTTTTCTTTTTTTTTAAAATTCAGCCTACTTTCTCTGTTGTTTGCTGTTAGGATTGGGTAATTTCCATGGTTCTATCTTGAAGTTTGTGAATTCTTTCCACTGTCTCTTACAGTTTCCTCTTAAACCCGTCTATTGAGTTTTTAAAATTTCAAATATTGTATTTTTTTAGTTCTAAAATTACCATTTAGTTCCTCTTTTCATCTTCTATTCCTTTGCTGAGATGTTCTTATTTTTCATTTATTTGAAATGTGTTCTAATGGGTTATTGAGGCTTTAAAATCTTTATCGATAATTCTAATATCATTGTTCTCTTGGAGTTGGCATTTATCAGGCATTTTTCCTTTTTTTTCCATTTAGTTTGAGATCTTAGTGGTTATTCATATGATGAGTGACATTCTATTGAAACCTGGACATTTGGGTATTATATAATGAGGCTAGCCCTTATGTAAACCTTTGATTTTAGCTGAATTCTTCTGACACCACTCCAGCAGAAAAATGGAGGTTCCACCTTATTACTCAGGTACCTCACACTGTTTCCATTGATAACCAAACCAAGCAGACTCCTCCCTGAGTGGTTGGTAGTTCCAGCTCTCCAATAGGCCTCCATTGATAGCTCCCTGTCTGAGAGAGGGAGGAGTGCCTTGTTACTGCTTTCCACATGGCATCCACTGATGGTGGGAAGGAGGTGAGAGTCTTGACTTCCCACTTGGTTACCTTTGAAACGAACTCAGTGGGAAGGAGGAGGGGCACTTTGTTACTGGTAAATGGAGGTGGAAGTCCACCTTTCCACTTGGACTCCACTACATTGCTGAGGGTGATGCTGAAAGTCTCAGACCTCTACTCATCCTTCTCTGACACCATGATAGTGAGTGGGTTGAGGTGCTGCAATACAGCTTGGCAAACAAAAGTGGAAGTCTGCCTCCCTGCTTGGCCTTTGCTGGCCTGAGTGGGTGTGGGGCCATATTTTTTCAGTGGGTTTGACTGGAGTAGAGTAATTATTATCAAACAGATTTCTGTCTGGCTAGACTTGTCTTTTCATTTGGCTAGAGAGGGTGGACTTGTGTCATGTTTTCTTTTGGCTGTCCTTATGTTACCAGGTTGCTGGCTTCTTCAGATCTAACTCTGGGATATATAAGGCAAAAAGAAAATGGAGGGGACTCAATACTTAGTTCATTCCTTAGGCCCCAGTGTCCGTGGATGGTCTGTCTTCTCTTTGCCTTTCAAAGTTATCTTATGTTTGTTTATTTATAATTCTCAGGGTTTTAACTTATACTTAGTAAAAGGACTAGGGAAAAAATAGTTGTACATGCAGAAATCTCCAAAACCAAAATGATTTCACTGTACATTTTTGCCATTTAATTAGGTGAAATTAAAAAGACAATAACCCATCCTCTAAAAGGCATTTTAACTATTAGAACATAATAACACAGGTTACTATCTGTGAAAAACTTTTAAAAATGTTGCCTAAAGCATAAATGTGTAAAAATCAGTAATTAAAAAAGTCATTCTAGGAAAGAAGAATTCTTATGATGATACATAAATAATTATTCTTGACCATTATAATTTATGAATATTTGAGCTCTTCAATAATTATATTTTTAATAGGTAATTCAGTTGTTCTAAGTCAATTGTACTGACTAATGGGAGCCATAGATATTCTTTTATTAAACTAAAAAGTAACACCTGCTGCTAGTAACTAATCCAGTCACCTCAAAACAGTTGAGTATGGTAGTTCCCCTCTATCCAATTCCATTTTTTAGAAATAACCACTGTTAACAGTTCGATATGCATCCATCCAGTTTGTAGTCTATGTTTACACTTTCAGTCATGCTCTGCCACTGCACTTAGTCACTCCTACATTTATTTTCCAGCTTCTCTTTCTATTCATGTTTCGTAAGTTTATCCTTCTCTCTCTGGCTATAAAACATTGAAAGACGTTCAGACTTCATTCTAGACCTTTTTTTCTCAATTAGTATTGTTTATCTTTGTGACTCATCTATGTTCCTATTTCAATTACCATTTCCACTCAAATTACTCATATATTTACTTTTCTAGTTCAGATTTCTGGTCATAGTGTCAAATCAATAACTCCAACTCTCTGCTTGACGACTCCTTTTGGATAAAGAGCACTCCAAATCCAACATTGCCAAAACTAGATGGATAATCTTTCCTTACAGCCTCTTTCAGATTTTACATCTCAGTGAATGGTACCACTGTATACTGAATTATATTCACTAGTGGCTTAGGAGTCGTTATTGATCCCCTTTCGTCTTTACCTTCCTTTTCCAATTAATTACCAAGTCCTGTGGTCTGCATAATCCTTTCAATATCTGTGACTGAGCTTCATCATCAACTACTGAGGCCAGTGTAGTAGTTTCTTAAATTGACTCTCTGCTTCTGATTGTTCTTGAATTATTTTTTTACTCTGTAGCCAGAGAGGGTATCCTCAAAATAAAATCTGGTTATGTTACATGCCTGCTTAGAATATTTCAAATTTTAATTGCTCTTATGATAAATATCGGAATTCTTAACATGACCTCTAGCACAGTACCTGTCTCAATAAATATCTGTAAAACAGTGAAAAAACTTACATGGTTTATAGCATTTTATATTAAAATAGTATTAGTATACACATGCATCTCCATATGCATCTTTCTTTTTTCTTATTAATATTTCTGTTGGATATGTTTCTAGAAGTGAGGTTGCTAGTATAGTTTGGTTTTTATCTATTAAATATGAAGGTTAATAGAGATGTGCTGCAGTGCCTTGTAGTCGTCAAGAAAAAAATCCATTAAGAGCAAAAAGAGGAGATTGATCTAAGAAGATCAGTAATGATTTATTAAGGGAGTCATCCTGTACCTTCTGTCTGATGGAAGGAGTTATATCTCAAAGAAACACCAAATAATTTAAGGATTTTTTGAGTTTATGCTAAGAAAATTTAGGTTAAATATTTTGCAAGATAGCAAGGAGCAAAAACGAATCACATTTTTGTATTCATAACAAATGTGATTTATTTCTATAAACCACTCATGCATTTAGTTTGCTTATATATTTTTCTTACAGTATAAGTAGGTAGTATAAAGAAAGGCATAATTCGAAATGGGATAATAAAATGGTAACGAAATAATGTATGAATTATAATTTTTATAGAAATCAAGGTTTACTAGTATCTAAGACCATTTGGGGTGCTGCAACCTATAGTTTATAAGCTATTGGTTAGCTTATAAATTAAATAGGAATTTATTGCTCACAGTTCTGGAGGCTCAGGGTCCTAAGATCTAGGCATAATAGATTCAGTGATTGGTGAGGGCTCACTTTCTGGTTCATAGATGGTGACCACTTGCTGTGTCCTCACATGGTGGAAGGGAGAGAGGGGTTTCTTTCAGCCCTCTTTTACAAGGGAACTAATAGCATTTGTGAGGGTTCTTCTTCATGACCTAATCATCTCCTGAAAGCCCCAGCTCCTAATACCAACGCTTTGGGTGTTAGGATTTCAACATATAAATTTTGCAGGGGACAAAAACATTCATACCATGGCAACTGGTGTAATTGATACTGGGCAGAACCATGAAATGGGCAAATAATATTTTCAGAGATATGTCTGCTTCCTTTGATGCATGGTCCTGGAAGGAAAATGGGTATATCTTTGTGCATATGACATCAGCAGGGAGCAGCACAAAGGCATCAGGCACCCAAAAGGTGGGGGACTAAGAGGGGCAGTTTGCTACTAGCTCCACACTACTAGTTCTGTGACCTTGGGCAAACTAGTTAATCACTGTAAGACTTAGTTTCCTCATTTGAAAATAATAACTGTTTTACCTGTAAAGTAGATTGGATTTGATCATTTGTTTTATTACTTGTTAAGGCATTTATTTATATTTATGAATTTTTTTGGTTGAGCTGATACTAAAACACTTTATTCCTAATTTTAGTCATAAATTTACATACCAGAAAGATAGAAGTGTATAATACACGGGCATTAATAACTTTAAAAACTTTTTGTAGGAGCTTCTCAGGCTGCAAAGTGATTCATAATGGCCTCTTAGAGCACCCAAGAGGTACCATGAAGCTCTGAAAGAGTTAACATGCTTTTTATAACCCGTGTACTTAAAGGTAGTAAAAAACTCTGATTTTCATAAGTAATTCTTTACAAATTCCCACTGTTCTATCTCTCACCCTGGTCTTTTTTGTTTATACTGAGATGCGTGCATTAAGCAGCTTTATGCTTATAGTCTTCATGCTATTAATTTTGTATCAGCCACTTTGAGTTTATCATTTCTTCTGTTCTAGGCAATGGGCCTATCATCTGTTTATCATTTCTTCTTGTTCCAGGCAATGGACCTCATCATGACCGTTGCTGTACTTACAATGAAAGCAACTTGGTGGATGGAGTTTATTGTCTCCCAATAGGACACTGGATTGAGGCCACTGGGCACACCAATGAAATGAAGCACACAACAGACTTCTATTTTAATATTGCAGGCCATCAAGCCATGCATTATTCAAGGTAAAAATAGTGCTGTGTTTATAACCATAGAAGTAGGACAAGAGGTAGCATTAGGACAATGGAAATATTCACTGTGTTCAAAACTGCACTATCTCACTTTGGAGGGGTCTATAGACCTGTAGGACTTTGAGGAGATAATAACAGTGAATCAGTGTCTTGAGCTCTTCTGGGTGTAGATGTGGAGGATTTTTTGATATATATATATTTATTAAATGTATACCCTGACATCAACATATTTTGACCACATAGTAGCTAACCAATCTCTCTACTTATGTAGGGCAAAAATTAAAAACTGCCCTAAAATAGCCTAAATTAGTATTTGTATCCTTTATGCTACTGACTTACCAGTGAAACAAAAATTGGTATTCAAATAAATATGTGTGAAAATACAGACAGAACTAGATTGTATGTGATTATCTGCTTTATTATTTGTTAATATTTTGATTTATTTGTTCATTTAATTCCTAAATCAAGACTATATGTCATAATAAAAATTCCAACACTGAATAGGTTGCTAAATAAAAACTAAGGCTCATTATCCTTTTCTCCTGTCCCACTCATCAGAAGTGATTATTTTTAACCACTTTCTGGTTAGTTTTTCTGGAGATTAGATCCAAATCTTAAACAATGTGCATATACTTTGCTTGTTAATGTGCCAGTTTAAAAATAGCTATTGATTCCCCTCTGTTACACATAAGAAATTGACCTCTCTCATACTTGTCCTCTCTCCCCACTCCAGGCCCTATCAGGCATATTTTGAAAAGTTTCATCGTTACTTTCATCATACAGATTCTGTCTTGACCCATCAATTTTTCAGTGTCTCCTGGTATCCTACATTGTAAGAGCAGAGATTTTTTTTTTGTCCCTGTAGTTTTTTCCACATCTACTTCCACCTACTAACTCCTGCTTTTAAATTACTTTTATAATTTCAAAGCTTATAGAATTTACATTAAATTTAGTAAATGTAAACATCTTTCACACTGATTATTTAAAATTTAAAAGCAATTGCCAACATTTAAAATATTATGTTATTTACTGTAGAACTTATAGTGTTTATACCATACACAAAGAGATGTATTTTCATGTTCTTAAAGAATGTGTTTTGAATAAGACATATAATTAATATAAACAGTTGTGAAGGGTAAGAGAGAGAGAGAGAAAATGCAGTTTCACAGCAGTATTAGTAAATTAATACTCCTTTTGAAAACATCTTTCTTTCAAACTTCTGGTAGATGTTGGCTTTGCTGATGGGTTGTATGCACAGAATGAGGAAGAGAGGAGTTGAGCATGTCTTGTGGTTTTGTGGCCTGAGCTACTGAATTAATGGTGTTGCTGCTTACTGAGATGGGGAAGACTGGGAGATGAGCAATTTGAAGTAGGGATTGAGGTAAAAGTTGTATTTTAGTCATTTTTTCAAATGTATGTTAGATTACAGGAAGGAAATTGATTTGATGTCAGAAATTTTAGGGAGAGGTTGGAAATAAAAATGTAAAATTGGGAGTTATCAAGACATAGATGACATTCAAAATGATGAGTCTGGATGAGACAATAGTAAATGAGTGAAGTATAAAAGAGACAAGGAGAAGAAGCAAAAATACTGAATCCTGGTTCATACAATTTAGAAGTCAAGGAGAAGCAGAAGATCCAGAGACAAGTAGGAGAAGGAGTACCTCTTGAGATGGTCTGACATTTAATGAGGATGTGTTTATGGGTTCTTTTAAATTAAACCACATTTACGGAATCAACCCTTTTATTTGAAGAGTCATGTCTTTGGCTTTAGAGATATTTTCCATTGTAGAATTATTTCTTCCCCTTGATTGCCTTTGCTCTTTGTCATTAAAGGCATTCCTTAGATGGATGTTGGACCTGTTGGATTTATATTTTATATTTATCATCTTTTTTATTGCTTTATATTTTGGGAGGCTTCTTTTTTTCCAATTCAACCACCAATTATTTTTTTCTTAATTTCAGTAATTGTATTCTTAATTTCATGGAGTTTTACTTACTCTGTTATTCACTTTTTGCATATTAGTTTGTTCTTGTTTATGAATGAATATATTCATGAATCTTTCTTAGAATACTGAGTTATTTTAAAGTTCTCTTCTCTTACTGGAACTATCTATTTTTCTCCTGATTCAATTGTTTTTCATTCATATTGATGTTTCTGTTTTTGTGTTGTTAATGTTTTAGGTAACATGTTTCTTCATTGTTCATATTTATGATGTGAAAGATTAGGTTGATTATTGCATATGGCTGTCATGGGTTTCTTCTGCTATTACTGGCCAGTAATACCTGTGAGAGGTGTTGAGGGCAAGCTGTGCTCAGGTGGGCAGATCTGTCTTTCTCAACAGACTCAAATCAGACAACCTACCTGGGTGCTTCCTCCACCTTATCCTGAAAGAAAAGACAAGGAGGGTCTGTTGTAGGGTATACCTCTCAATCTGAGAGCCTTTGCTCCCCAAGCAGATGTTTTAATTTCTAAATAAAGTATTTCCTCAGCTTCATGTGCCGTATCAAAGCTGTATATGCAGGTGAGAATGAACCTTAGTTCATGTACTCAACTATGCAAGAAAGCTTACGTTTCCTTATTTTCTTTAAAGCAACTTAGTTTTATATCCAAGTCTCTATCCTACTGAATTCTCAGGTAATTCAACCTGTTATCCACTGCAGGTATAAATATATCTGTGCTTATAAATAATAATATATTAAAATGTATGTATACTGTATAACATATATTAATATAATATATAATATGTGTGTATGTATACCTGGAGTATAATATATATCAAATCTAATACACACACACACACACACACACACACACACACACCCCAAGTCCTGGGAATCTTTATTTTTCAACATCACCATGTGAATTTTACATGCATTAGAATATAAAAGGAATATTTTTATGCACCTTCAGTTGTTTTAGTGTAACTCCCCTTAAAAATTCCATCCATAGTTCACCTTCACATGAAACTGGACAAGATGAATATCTGAATTCAGTTTAAAAGAAAAGAGTCAGAAAGGCATTTACGTATTTCATTATCAAATTGAAAACATCGAATTCTGTTTGCCATGTTCATCTGACAATGTATATGCTAAGATTATTTGTGAATTTATCTTAGCTGCTGAAATAGATACAGACAAGCAGATTCTATGTTTGAGCATATATACAATGGAGGCATTCAAACTCAACTAAGAATTTGTAATTACAAACTCTCACTCTTTAGTTTGAATATAGGAATGGAATTATTCCTAGAATTTTTTTATGGTTGAAATAAATCATATAAGAATGGAATTGTCAGTATCCTTTATAAGGATAAGGCTTTTTAGAGCATATATATATAACAATTAAATGTTATATAATAGGATAAATGGTAACTTCACTTATTCAGTAAGAATTGTATGGATTACTCTGTGCAGCCCGTGTTGAGTGCTGAACCATCAGCAATGAAGAGACATGATCCTTGCTCTCATGGAGCTTGTCCTCTAGTGGAAGACAATATATAAACAGCTGTAATACAGTTAAATAATTGCTGTAATGAAGTTATATATGCAGTGTAAAAAGGGACAGGAAAAATCTTTAGTTTAAGGAAATCTTTGTGAGGATGTAGAACTTGAACAGAAACATGAAGGATTCTTTTTCTCAGGAAATTTGGGAAAGGGAATTCAAGGTAAGAAGAATAGTGATATGGTTTGGCTGTGTCCCCACCCAAATCTCATCTTGAATTGTAGCTTCAACAATTCCCATGTGTTGTAGGAGGGACCTAATGGGAGGTAATTGAATCATGGGGTTGGGTCTTTCCCATACTGTTCTTGTGATAGTGAATAAGTCTCATGAGATCTGATGGTTTTATAAGGGGGATTTTTCCTGCACAAGCTCTCTCTTTGCTTGTTGCCGTCCACGTAAGATGTGACTTGCTCCTCCTGGCCTTCCACCATGATTGGGAGACCTCCTTAGCCACGTGGAACTGTGAGTTTATTAATTCTCTTTCCTGTATATATTACCAAGTCTTGGGCATGCCTTTGTTAGCAGCATAAAAACCGACTAATATAAAAAGCAAGTGCACATGTACAGAGGTGTGAGAGAGCAGTCTTAGGGTAGCCAGCTAATTTTCTCCAACCAGAATGCTTTGAGAGTAAAACAAGGTACTTTACATAATTAGCCTGAACAAGAGATATAAAAATAGGACTTTACTGGGAATACCAGGACATATGGCAACCTAAAGAACATGTCATGTAAAAGAGAACATTCTGGCACTTGTCGATATTTAAGTGCATATATAAGCTGAGAACACCTGTCTCTAAAGAGGGATTACAGATATCCTTTGATAGAAATTAGCACCCTTTCCATGGTATGATTTATCTAGAGAGTTTTATGTGCTACATTTTAGTTTTTGATTTTTAGCCAAGATATACATACACATGTTTAAAGAAGATATCAGATTCTACAAGTTTTATTATGAGAAAAACAGATCTCTCTGCCTATTCTTTCCCCCACCCAAGCTACCCCAATTGTATCTTTCCACAGGCAACTACTTTCATTTCTTTTAGTTGATTATTTGCTACTTCACTTCAGGTAAATTATACATAACATGATTATATTGCTACTGTTTGGTTTTAGATCTAGGTATTATCTATTGACTATACAACATGAAATATGAAGATCTAGCCCTCTTTTCTTCTCTTCCCACATCCATCCTATTGTTCAGTCTTCCCAGTATAGTAATACCATATTTTTCATGAGATCAGTATTCCACATGTACATTCATATGGCTATGTAATGCTATTTAACATCCAAAGGGTTTGCAGATGTTTAAATCTCAGGATTGCTATTGAGAAGTCAAAGCGATTATGCCTCCCGATCCTTTTTGTTCATATGTTTTTGTATTTGTTTTTAGTTCTGTAAATGAAGAGGCCTGCAGAATCTTTTTATTTCCAATAGCTTGAAATTCCATTCTTGGTATGGGCCCATTTTATCCATTTTGCTAAGCTGTCAG